ATCGTCTTCAAATCCGCCGTCTAGAGTGTCGTCTGCAACATCATCCGCAACATCGTCTATATCATCGTCCGTGGTATCGCCGCTATCATCCGACTCCCCGTCTCCCGCCGCGTCTATATCCCGTGCCCGTGCCGTGTCCGTAGTGGTTCTAGGAGGTTGTAAAACCCATCCAGGGATACCTTGTCGGTCGAAGAAGCTCATAAGCGACAAGAGGTCCGCAGCAGTGCGCCGCTTCGACCGGATATGGTCAAAGGATATCTGCCATGTCGTGAGGATCGCGTTGGACGCGCCTCCATCCCGTCGCAGGTCGCCGCCGTCGTACCCCAGCAGCCGGGCCCTCCTACGCTCGTTTTCCCGAAACTCAGCCAGGTATTTCTCAGCCGAGCTCCGCGGCGCCCGTGCCTGGATGTACGCGGCCGCCTGGCTGATGGCTAGCGGGACAAGGTCGAGCGCCTCCACGAGATCGGCCGCCACATCTGGATTTGCCGGCGATCCCAGCTTTTTCTCCAGGAGTGTAAGTGCATCCGCCTGCGCCATCGGTCCGATATCGATCATGTTCTGACGGCGGCCAGTCAGCCTGAAAGCCAAGTCCTTGTTGCGAGTGGTTATGATAATCGATCCGTTTCGGCTTTGTGGTAGGTATGTCGCAAACGGCCGCCTATCGCGCGCATCGCTGTTAGTCGCGCCGTGGGCATGATCTACGTTATAGAACACGTCGCGGTCGTCGGCGCTGTCAAGGACCACAATCCATTTGCCGTTCCGTTCATTGGACAGCCAGCTGTACACAAGCTGTGGGATATCGGCTTTGGGTTGGTTACGGCCGGCAAGCTTGATGGCGTCGGCGATCATCCTAAAGCCCTCTTCGACGCGCGCCTGTGTGCCAGCGTGGACCCAGAACACCCATGTATCAGGCTGCCCCGCGGCGATTCGGTGGGCGTATTCGATGGCCAGTTGCGACTTGCCCACGCCGCCGAGGCCCACGAGGGCCACCCGACCGGCCGGCTCAGAGCATCGCTTGTCGATCTGGTCGAGAATGTCTCCGCGGTCGACAAAATCGACATCGCGGGAGAAGGGGATGGTCGCAAACGGTTGCGGCGGCGTCTCTGGTCGTTCTGGGAATGTCAGTGGGTACAGCATCCCTCGGCTCGGGCGCGCCAAATCTTACCCGGCGGTAGATGGAATTCCGTGTTGATTGACCCATAATTCTGCCCCACCTGGATACCCTGGCGCTGGGGCCCGAAAGACGCGGAGGGCGTTTGTGACATCTCTGCGATCGAGTCTGTTGTCGACCATCCTGTCGAACGACGGGCTGCTGGTGATGTTTTTACCATGCAGGTGAAGGTTATGCGGCTGATCATTCCTGCCCAACCAGCCCGTCACCATCTGCCCACCGTGAGGCTGGGTCAGCTCTCTCTTTCAGCCTCAGTTGCGTGCTAGCCACAGCGAGTGTGGCGTAGCTGATGACTCAGACACCAACATGACCCCTCCCTGACCTGCTTCGCGAAGATTCATGCCGACAAGCCAGAATATCGCAGCATCGCAGCATACCAATGGCTCCGCAACTCGCTCCCTCACAACGTGAACAGGTCCATGCTATGATACTCCGTGACTTGCCCAATGACGTGATAGCCGAAACCGTCGAGTACAGTAAGCGCGCAGTTCGCAGAATCCGATTGAGACTTCAGCGGTTCGGAACAACGACAAGCCCCCCGAACCGCGTAGGCCGCGAGTCGAAGATAACGCCCCTCATGCGCGATGCATTCCTTGAACAGCTAGCAAATCGACCCGATATGTTTCGATACGAGATGATCGATTTCCTGTACGATAGTTTCGGCCTCGAGGTGTCCCCGGCCACCATTTCTCGAACCCTGAAGACGGAAAGATGGACCAGGAAGACCAATGGCCGTATAGCGAAACAACGGAACCCGGAACTACGGGAGCTGTACCTCTATAAACTTTCTGATTGCCGATCGTATCAGCTGGTCTTTATCGACGAGTCTGGCTGTGATAAACGGGGCGGACACCGACGCCAGGGATGGGCGCCGAGTGGAGCAACGCCTGTGCAGGTTGACGAGTTCAACCGGGAACAACGGTTTCAGATTCTTGCTGCGTATACACAGCGTGGCGTTAGACTGGCGCGTATCTACCCTGGATCCACCGATGCTGTTATATTTGAGGATTTTATTGACCAGCTGCTGCACCACTGTGGTAAATGGCCGGAGCCGAATTCGGTCCTTTGTTATGGATAATGCCTCCATCCATCGCTCAGAGAGACTTGAGCAAATGTGCATCGACGCTGGAGTAAGGCTCATTAAACTGGCGCCCTACTCGCCAGACATGAACCCGATCGAGGAGCTTTTTGCAGAGATCAAGACATACATCAAACAGCAGCGGTGTGACGGATCGTCTCTCAACCACACTCTGAAAGGGTTCACTGAAGGTATGACGTAAGGGTTGTGATCCGGTGAAGCCAAAAGGTTCACAACAAGATAATGATCTGGTCTCAATGTTCACAGCGTCGTGCAAGTTGCAATGAACAAGTTGTATTGCTTACTGGAGAACTCCCAGAGTCCTCCAGAACGAGTGACTATATATCACCTGGATCACCATTCTTCCCTAGTGATCCCTGGTGTCGGCTCACCTGGATCACGATGCCCAGTCTGGTCCTGATCATGATCCCGTTTTAATTGGCTACTTAATGATTGGCTGTCAGTCCGTCCTGCATTCTGACTTGTGGGTCCTTTGGCCGTTCCTCAGGCCAACCCATGACAGTACGGCTGGAATATGGGCGACCCTTTTGTATAGCGGGGGATGGTATGCATGGTCGCAAGGGAGATACGATATTGCGCAGCAGATGGTGGGCAAGGCAAGGAAGGTTCGTCAGAGAAGATTTGGAAGAGAAGATGTGGCGACTCTGGCAAGTATATCGTTATTTGCCTTGGTCCAGAAGGACCAGGGCCGGTGGTCAGAGGCCGAGAAGCTGGAGGTGCAGGTGATGGAGACGAGCAAGACCAAGCTCGGGGCCGATCACCCCAACACGCTGTCGAGCATGAATAACCTAGCTTTCACTTGGCAAAATCAAGGTCGCCACGCAGATGCTTTAGCACTGATGGAGGACTGTGCCCAGGCTCGGCGGCGAGTGCTTGGGGAAGAGCACCCATATACGCTGTTGTCTTTAGCCGCTGTTGCTAAGTGGAGTAGCTAGTTATTTATTTATAAGGAATCTGGAGTCACCATGGTATAAGTGCATAACTTGCAGTTATCCCGTGTTACCCTTTGCAGCGTTGATTGGCTGGCGTCTGCCAACCTCAAACTCGCTTCCAGTGCTGAGCCGCGCAAGCCAAAAGCGGCGAGTGGGTTCTCCAGTTTTGGAGCTTACTTGTAGCTGTGCGGAGCTGGTACTAGCGCACAGTGTCAGCGACAGCCCAAGGGTGGAACTGGCCCGTGCGGAGAAAGTTTGAACTAAAAAATTCTGGACACTATTTTCGGTCCTTACTGTAAGCAAGCAAGCAAGCTTGATCTAGAGCTGATACAGGGTTGGGTTTTGCCGCCCCCCGCATCACGACCGAGTCAGAGTTGAGCGTGTTTGTTTCTGTTTCTCAGAAGCTTGAGTCACGACCTTACTGACGGTTTGTATGATAGTGCTTTGGGTGGCGTGATATTGGGGGTCCATCGATCTGGCCTGGCGTGTTTGTTTCTGTTTCTCAGATAGCTGAGTCAAGACCTGACTGTCTGATGATAATGCTCTCCGTGGCGTGTTTGTTTCTTAGAAACCGAGTCAAGACCTGAATGTTTGTATGATAAAGCCCTCGGTGGCATGATATTGGGGACATCGATCGATCTGGGTCTGACTAGGCTGGCCTGGTCTGGCTGGGCTGGAGTGCCTGGGTTGGGTGAGTTGGTGTTTGAGCTCGTTGTAGTCGTGCGACACGACGTCTGATGTGAGAATTATAGCCTCGAGAGCACTTTTCCAAGATTTGGTGGTTTGATGATACGTCTGGGTGGCGTGATATTGGGATCTAGGTCGGGCTTTAGGCTTTCGGTCTCAGTCTTGGGACGTCTGATGTGAGAAAGTGAAGTCTGCCATTCGTTAGTGAAGCATGTGCTAACCGATGTTTCCCGGTTTTGATAGCTGTTGGTGGTCTGATGGTATGTCGTTGGCCTTTCGCAAGACAGTTGCTGAGTCGCAAGGAGATACAACTGAGGGGGCCAGACTCCAGAGGATTGAATGAGAGGTAGTCGTGTGAAATGAGCTATCTGTCCGTCACGCTTATCTGTCGTGTGGATATTCGTCGTATAGTTATATATCGTGTGGTTATATATCGTGTGGATTTGTGAACACGCAGGTATAGATAATTACAGGTATCCATCGTGCGGACATATGAACTTGTAGGTACAGATACAAGTGTCCGTCGTGTGGATATCTGTCGTGTGGTCGTGTGGTTATTTGTCGTGTGGATATGTGAACTTGGAGTGTGGATATCGGTACTTTAGTTTGGCTTTGGTATGTGGCTGGGTCGAGGTAGCGGTGTTGTATACTCTGCACCTGGCTACGGCGAGTCATCATATCTGGAGAAGAAGGCTCGCTATGGCCAAAAAAAGCGGCACACCAAGTCCCTGGATAACTTTGCTAGAAAAGTGAAAAAAGACCAAAAAGAATAAACCAAAAAAGGGAAAGAAGAGAAAAGGGAATAAATCCAAAAAGTGAAAAAAGACAAACAAGAGTATATCAGTCAAAATTTACCAAGATTTGATCGAATGTTAATGGATTGGACTTGAGCTATCTGTTTTAGTGTGTCGCTTTTTTTTGGCCACAGCGAGGAAGGTCCTTCAGGACAGTTGATGACCGTCTCGACTGTCATTACTCGACCTGGGCCGTGTCGGGATTCGTTTTACGGACTATCCAGAGGGGGAGATTGGCTGGGAAGGGTACTGCGGGATAGACGGCGTGCTTTGTCATGTTGTAACCGTCAATACGCCCCTCTGGTGTTTACTTCTTGTGTGAAGTGGGCAGGCGACGTGAGATCTGAACGACAATATCTTCGAACAGCCCATTATGGGACCCGCGACTAATACCCGGATATTGGCGGGAGAAGTGGGCGACGACAGGGTCAATGTCACCTTCTCTCTGGTTATGACCAACTAGTTAGATATTCGCTACTTCAGAAGCAGCATTGTGCTTTCTCTAGGACGGAATAGACCACGTAGTACATCCATCTATAACGAAATATCAGATACCTATCCAACAAAACTAAATCAAGAAGAGTACAAAGTACGTCTCATAACAACCCAAAGGCCATTGACAAAAATATACGATCGTCTCAATCTTCCAAATATACCCCCCTACAATAGATACCTAGCGGCGGACAAAACACCATTACCGTCATGGACCAGCGAAATATAAACCCGTAATGCAACACCACAACCCTGCTGTCGTAGTTCTCGCCTACTTTTCACTGTGCACACGATTCCAAATGGTCAACGCCAAAAGGGTCCAGAGAAAGGGTTCTTCCACTCGCCATTATCGTGAAGACAATAAATGACCACGACAGGGTAGGCCAAGAAGCCAAAAAAACCTCCCTACACTCCCAGTGCACCCTCGGATGACAGCTGGCATGCTTTCACAGGCTTAACTCACCGTCAAACAACTCAATTAACACCTACCCTTAAATAACACATATAACACACACAAGCAGGTGACGGAACCGACAACAGTCAGACATAGCACATACACAGCCGTAGGATGAGAACAGCAGAGAGTAGAGGTATCAAGTCAATCAAGCCTTTTGATAACATAACAACTCCTAGACGCGGGCGGGGAACCCACGAAAGGAGATATAGGGGATACAATAAATACAAAACTCGAAATAAACGGAATAAGGGACAGGAAAGAAGTAAAGAAGGAAGAGGAGAATGTAAGAAGAAAAGGAAGGGGAAGCGGGAAGGGGAAGGAGGAGAAAGGGGGAAGAGAGAACGTAATTAACGAGAGGAGGTCCCATCCGTCTCTTTTAACTCTTAACTCCCTGCTCACCAGACATCAGAATCAACAACCTCCTCCAAAATACCACGAGACATCCTCACAACCACTCAGCTAGCCAGACATCAGATACACACCTCATCTCCCCCTTCCTTCCCTTTCTTCCCTTCCTCACCCACCCTAACCTCCCTCTCATTCTCCCTTTCCGCGTCTCTTCCACCCTCTAGTCAGACGGCTTAATAATAGTATACGTCCCATCAGGCGACGCAACAATCGTAATCCCACACGACTTCAAGAAAGCCGCCAACTGCTCAATAGCGTACCGTTCCTCGGGTGTTTTCGCATCGCTATGAATCAGCGTCTCAAACGCGATCTCAGCACCATCCAGGTTCGGGCAGGCGACAGTATCGACGCCGCCGTCCCGCTTTCCGGGGGTGAAGCTGCTGCCGGTGCCGGGCGGGGCCGAGATGCCCGTGACGCCGGCGATGTAGGTTAGCGCAGCCTTGATGGCGGCGATGTCTTGGAGGTCCTCGGTGGTTTTGTGTTGTTTGTTTTGCAGGCGGATGAGTTCGGCTTCGAGCTCGATGATGACTTGCTTGGGGTTGGAGGCGAAGTCCGGCGGGAGGACGAAGCCGCGCTTGCCCGGGGTGAAGGTGGAGCCCGAACCCGGGAGGGTGGCGAGGTACTTGAGGGCGGCTTTGATGGCGGCAATGTCCTGGCGGTCTTGCTTGGTTTTGTTTTTCTTGTTCTGCAGGCGGGTGAGTTCGGCCTTGAGCTCGGCGATGGCCTTCTTCGGGTTGGTGGTGAAGTCGGGGGGGAGCACGACGGAGCGCTTCTTGGTGCTGGGGTTGACACCGCCGCCGATGGGGGTGAGGAAGCATGGGGGTTGCTCGTTGAGGGGAACGTCGGTCAAGCACTCGGGGAGTTCTGGGTCTCCCGGGGTGATGGTGCCGGAGCCATCGCCGATGGTGATCTGTCGCTTGGCCTTGGTGCTGGGCTCGATGGGGCCAGTGATGGGAGCCAGTAGGCAAGGGGGTTGCTCGTTGACGGGGATGCCGGCCAAGCAGGTAGGGAGCTCGTCTCCGTCACCGGGGGTGATGGTCGTGGAGCCACCGCCGATGGTAGCCTGGCGCTTCGCCTTGGTGCTCGGTTCGATGGGACCGACAATAGGGGGAAGCAGGCAAGGCGGCTGTTCGTTGAGGGGGACATCTGTGAAACACGGAGGGTAGTTGTTGGGGTCGCCGGGGATGAAGACGCCCGACCCGGGTCCGATCCAGATTTGCCGCTCTTCGACTGTCTTTGCGACCGGCAGGGCCTGGACGGCGGCGAAGCCGACCAGGGACAACGCGAGAGTTGACCCAACCATGGCTGCGGTGATGGGGAGTTTGCCCTTTCTCGGTGAATAAGGGGTATTGACTAAGGTAAGGAGTTGCCGTGGGTAGGCGGCCAACAGGGTCAGGTGCAGGCTTCAAAGGGGCAGAGTCTGTGGCCGTAAAACCAACGCAAAGACCGGTCCCTCAACCTGGCGAAGGGCGTCGCGTGTTGATATACGTCGCGCAGCGCTGTGCAGATGCAATATCGTTAATCTGGCCTCTGTCGTCGTGGCCCACGGGCCGAATGATTATAGCAGCCATCGGCGACATGTCGCGGTGGTCCCGCTCGAGGGGCCACACGCAGCGCGAGCGAGCGTAGAGTGGCGGGAGTGGTGACATGGGCCGGCCGCATCACGATCGTTGTTCGTTTGGCGGCGATAATATAAGGGCAATATGAAATAGATGAAGTCGTGAAGGCGAGAACCGCGCTTACCAAAGTTGAGGGACGGTTCGGCGTATTTACCCGGGAACTCGGCCATCCCAGGCCGTCCCCTTTGGCCAGATTTGGGCGCCGCGCCTGGGCTTTTGGACGGCAAAGCTGGAAAGCGACTAAAGCAGGCGAGTCAAAAGGTAAGGTAGCACCCCTAGAAAAGATGTTAATTGCCTTGACATTCTCTGCGACCAGAGCCCAACCGGCCAGTTTGGGCCATCGGCAGCGCAGGGCCGTGATAAATCGACAGGTCTGTTTGGGTGAGGCCTGCGGGAAACGCCGTGATGGGCTATTTTTGGGTTTTGTCGTGGTTTGACACGTCCCTATTCCTGGTTATCCTCCCCATGGGGTCTCCGCCGTCGTTCGTGGCACCCGGTTCATGGGCACGTCCACATCCGCAGCGATATTGCTGCAGTGGTAGTCGCTAGCCAGTATGATAGCCGTCGCATGGCCAAGACACCGAGAATAGACCAGCATTCGACGCTCGAGGGCGTACCACCCCCATGGCTGCATCTGGTCGAGTTGACCGGACAAAGGGGTTTATGGTTGCTCCAGCAGCTCGCCGGAGCAGCGGGACGAACAGAAGGAGAAGTCCGTTTCGGTTCGACGAGACACTGGCCTTCATCGTTGGTGGCTACTGTGACATGCCCGCGGTCACTTTACCCGGGGCCTTGGCCCTGCGGCCTGTCCAGCAATGTCGTCTCGCTGGCTCTCCCTGCTCAACACTTGCTGAGCGGCTAACTAACATACTGAAGAGCGATGTTATGACAAGGTGCCGTAAGGAGCTGCCGTCAATGAGTCCTTGGCGTTGGTGTTGCGGGGACAATGGTGCATGCAACGAAGATCGTCCAAGAATAGAAATAAAGTTGGATGAGTAGCTAGACGACCCGGGTTTTTGGAAGTCGTGCCTCATCTCGTTCCGGGAATGAGGAAAGAGACCCGCCGGGACGGCTGGACCCCGTCGTGCCCGTTTGTTGCATCTGGATTGATCCGGCCAGATCCAGGTATGGATCGACGGCAGTCTGTCCAGGCGAGGCGCGACATTGAAATCGCGTTTTTTCTGCTGAGTTTTCTGTGTAGCTTCACTGGTGTAGCTTCACTGGTGTGTCTTCACTGGTGTTTGAGCACGCCGTGTCTGTGGGACAATTTGCGTTGCAGCCGGTTGGGTCTTAGGAAGACGTTCCGCGTCAGGGTTTCGTTACGGAGGTTTGTTAGATGAATCCAGTCAAAACCGTTATCACCCCACCACAACTCGCATTATACGAATATTTTCCAAACCGATTGTATCTCTACTCTGCACAACCACCAGAAATTAAGTCAGTCAGCCGAGAAAGTGAAGATTGAATCTTCGACTCCATCTTCCATTCAATCTTCCATTCAATCTTCCATTCAATCTTCTAAGTATTCAATCTTTAATTTAATCTTCGATGGTAGAACTAGCCCTAACCCTAACCCCAGCCCTCTATAAGAAAGGCCGATGAGCCAGCCTACTTTTTATAACGGGGCTAGGTTTTGGAGCGAGCCTTCCATATATTAAAGATTAAATTGAAGATTGAATTGAAGATTGAATTGAAGATTGAAATTGAATCGAAGATTGAAGAAGTACTATAGGAGGTGTAGGGTTAGGGTTAACTGGTCGAGTCGAGATACATTCGATTGAAGAATCGGTTGCTCAATGCAATTCGGTTGGCGCAAAAAATGAATCTAACGCAAGTGTGGTGGGGCGATAACGGTTTTGACTGGATCCATCTAACAAACCTCCGTATTTCGTGGCTGGATCTCGTCCTGGAACGTCTATTTTAGGTTTTGGTTTAGTGGGCTTGAGCCGTTTACCGGAGAGATCTCGTCGCTGCATGCAAATAAGGACAAGGACGAAGTAGGAGAATTCCACGATGCAAAGCGGCAGAAATTATCCGAATGTGGTATATTAGCTGGACTGAATCGGGATTTCACGTTGAGCTAATAAGAAAGTTGACGTTCAAAGTTGAAGTTCTGGAAGGAAAGTGCAACGCTGAAAGAACCAAGAGCATGGCCGATCGCCAGCTGATGACAGCTGGCCAAACGTGCCTCGGTTGAGCGAAGGAATGAAGGAAGTGGAATCCTCCTTCCTGCTTGTGATGAGCAGATCCCAACAAAATCGAGCCATTGCGCGGCCAACGTAACTGAACATTAAAAGTGGAAATTCATCATTTGAAATTTTGTTGTGATGTAAAAAGATAGTTGCATCATCTGTGCCCTCTTGAATATTCTGCGCATTGCGATTGAGATTGCTTGGATACCCGCTGTTTACTCATCTCATCTCATCTCATCTCATCTCATCAATTATATCGGCCGGGAAAGACAAGAAAAGGCCAGAATTAGACCCAAATAGCCTGCACACCAACCTCATCTCACAGCCATGCCCTCAAAAACCATCAACGCCGGCCCAGCGCCAACACCCACCCGGCAATCCTCCCGACTCCGACAGCGCCAACCCCAGACCCAAACCCAAACCAGCCCCGAGACCAATGACACCACCGCCATCCCCCAAACCACCAAAGAAACCCTCACCACGGCCGCCACAGCAGCAGCCACAACAACAAAAGACACCGCAGCCGCACTTCTCAACCCCCTCCTCCACTGGGACGACCTCCCCCCCTGGCGACGGGACAACCCCTCCATCCTCCAGGGCTACCGGCCAACTTCCCAGTCCTGGCGAGGCTCACTCCGCAGCCTGGGATACCTGCACAACGAGTCGGTGAATATCTGGACACATCTCCTCGGGGCAGTGTTTGTGTCGCTTTTGGTGGGGTCGCTTCTGCTGGTGGGGGTTGTCGTGGGTGAGAGGGGTTTTGGGGACGGGTTTGGGTTTAGGTTGGGGAGTGGGCTTGGGCTTGGGGACCTGGGGGTGAAGGTGGAAGAAGCGGTTTGGGGGTTGGTAGAGGTGGGGAAGGGGTATGTGTCGACGGCGAGCGGGGCGGATGTGGTGGTGCTGGGGTGTTTTTTTGGCGGTGCTTTTTGTTGTCTTGGGATGAGCGCGACGTATCATATGTTGTGTAATCATAGTGAGGCGGTGGCAAGGGTGGGGAATAAGTTGGATTATACGGGGATTGTGTTCTTGATTGTGGGGAGTTATGTGCCGTCGTTGTGGTATGGGTTTTATTGTCGTGCCGCGTTGTTGACGGGGTATATTGGGGCTGTAAGTTTTTTCTTTTCTTTTCTTTCTGGGGGCTGTTGTCAGGGGCGCTCAACTGACTGACGACGACGATAGATTGTACTGCTTGGATCGGGTTGCTTGGTAGTCTCTTGGTTCGAGCACTTCCGCACCCCCGCCTGGCGGCCGTACCGCGCGCTGATGTTTGTTGGCCTCGGCATGTCGGGCGTGGTGCCGATCCTGCATGCGCTGGAGTTCTATGGGTTCAGCGAGCTAGACAACCGGATGGGCCTGAGCTGGATCCTCCTGGAAGGCTGCCTGTACACCTTTGGCGCGTTTTTATATGCGGTGCGTCCCCCTAACCTGCCGAGGTTTTTCCGTCGGTTTGGTCTGGATGGCTGCTAACTTGACAACAGGCCCGTTTCCCGGAGCGCAAATTCCCCGGCGCCTTTGACATCTGGGGTAGCTCCCACCAGATATTCCACGTTTGTGTCCTACTCGCTGCGGCATGCCATTTTGGTGCTATGGCTCAGGCGTTCAACTTTCACCACCATGCTCTTGGATCGCAGTGTTAGTTTTCCATCGCATAGACACGGATAGACGGCGAAAGATGAATAGAAGAATAGATGTATTACAACCCTTTAAGCTACCAAATAGCCCCCACAGAGTAGCGTAGCTCACTCCACCCCCAAATCCATCACCTTAACCAGCCCCGACGCCATGGCACACGCAGCCCAGCAGCTAAACTGCAGATTCGGATTCCACACCGCCGTGGTCACCCGCGTCAGGGGCTCATGGATCACCACCCGCGATGCCAGCTTCTCATCCAGTTCCGCCTCACGATCTTCGCCATCTTCATCCGCCGCAGCTGCTGCTGCTCCCGTCTTCTTCCGCTTGGGAGCCTTCTTCTTTTTAGCAGCCCTTTTCTTCCGGTCCATCTCCTTACGCTTTTCCGTCCGTGGATCATCATTCTCCTCCGGGAGAAACCCCTGCAATATCCTCACCGCGCCTCGTAAGCCGGATGGTGAAGCTGCTTCTCCAGATTCCATCGCCGGATCAGACAAAACCGCTGGCTCGTCAGAAACATCAGCCGACACCAGCGGCCGGTACTCGTGCTCAAAGACCTTGAGTTTACGCAGCGGTTCACCCTTCTGCTTAAAAAGCTTCTGCAGCGCATTACACGCAAACACGGACCCATCCGCACACCCCACCAGCACAAACGGATGTGTCGTCCCCGCCGACACACACATCAGCGTGTTCGGCCCTGTCGTGATGCTGCGCGCTTGGCAGAAAAACCTATGGTGCAGAAACGCGATGGTCGTGTTCGGGGTGGATGAAGGGTACAAAGCCAAAAACCCTTGCATGGGTTCGTTCCAGCAGAGGAGGTTGGGTTGGAAGGAGATGGCGGGGACCGGGAAGTAGGTCATTTCGGAGGTGGGCTGGGAGAGGTCGGTGAGGGTGGCACAGCCGCCGACGGGAATGGAGGCGACGAGGAAAGGGTTGGAGGGGTAGGCCGAGCAGATGTCGATTATGTAGGTGGTGTGGGCGCCGACGCGTTGGAGGAGTTGGCGCGGGTAGAGGGACCAGAGGGTGACGGAGCCGTCGGAGTGGCCGAGAGCGAGCCGGTTGGTGTTGACCCAGGTTAGGCAGGTTACGCTGGTGTTGTAGTCGTCTGTTAGGCCGAGCGTTGCGAGGGGGGTTTCGAGCCATTCTGAGGGTGTTAGCCGGCTATTTGATACTTGGGAAAGGGATAATATGAGAACATACCGTAAACAGGCGCATCCGCGTCTTTAACAACCCTAGCCTCGATAACACGCGCAAGCCCGTCATCCGTTAACATCGCCAGCACCCCATACACCCCCGATCCGTCCAGCGGTACGGGGCAAAACGCGAGTCTCTTTGCCCGTCCCCAGTCGAAACATTGAGCGCCGAGAAACCGTGGGGGATCTGCTGAAGGACACGCCAGATGGCCTGCGGGCTTCTTATCACTGGGTGTGAACTGCCACAGCTGGATGGATCCCGTCGATTTAGACTCTGGCGTTGCTGCTGCTGCTGCTGCTGCTGCTGCTGCGATATCTGGCACCTCATTATCCCGTCGGCGAATGGGCTTTTGGTCAGAGAAAGGGATCGTAGCGATAGCCAGGACTTGGATGTCTTCGCGGATGAGCGGTGCCCAGGACATGGCTAGCGGGATACCGCCAACGTCAAACATCCAGCCGCCCGATACCTCTTCCTCTTCTTCTTTCTCTTCTTCCCTTCTGTTTGTACCTCCCCCATCGTGTCCACCACGTCCCATCGGTCGACCAGACAACGCACTCATCGCAACCCCCATACGCTGCGTCAGTCTAACCTCCTCCTGCATCGCCCACGGCCCAACCACCGTGGCCAGATCCCCCTCACCCTGTGGTACAAACCGCTGCGCTTCCTCCGGCGTCAACACATGCGCTCTCTGAACTCCCACCATCTCCGTCTCATCACCATCACCGCCCACGCTCTCCATCCCTTCCTGCTGCTGTTGTAGTTGTTGTTGCTCCCTCCGTCCCAACTCCTCCCTAACCCCCCTCCAATCCCCCATCCACCTAACCCCCCGTTCCCTCTGC